CAGTTACTCCAATGGAGATGGTTTTAAGTTCACAAATTGATCTTCACCATGTTCAATTCAAGCAACAATAGCTGATACAACTTCTGAACTTGAAACCATCTCTTCTAGAGTAACTGCCAAAAGACAGTAATAACATGACTTGTCAATGACACTAAATTATGAAAATGATAAATGCTATTTCATAGATCTGTAGATTTAGACCAAAGGCAAAGACATGTTTTAATGTAAATCGTAACTCTCTTAACTCTATTGAGATGGAAGAATCAAAAACAAAACTATCTGTAAATGTTGCATCTTAATGAAAACATTATTTTTGAATTCCTTACTTTGTTAAACTCTGCCACAAGGTCTTTCAAACTTTCGCTAAAATAGCTACATTGTGTTTTTTCTTCGTATAATATACAGATGGTAAATTTAATTTTTAATTTTTAAAGAAGCTAAAAATCCAAATAATTTAATTTAGCTATATATGGAACAAAACTATTGAAATATGATATACGTTGGACATGCTTATAAAATCTATCCCATATAAACATATTAATATTTAATGCTGATATTATTATAATATGATATTTACAATTTCACAACAAATAAATAATAATGCTTTATTAATTGAAATGCAATACCCAAGGTGGGCGGGTTTCTCAAGTATCAGTAGATTTTTTCCTGCAAATAATAAAATATAATGATAAACTATTCAGGTGTATTATAAAAGGATTATAATTTTAAAAAAATATCAAGGGTGTTATTTGATCTTCACTTTTACAGCGTCTATTAGATAATACTTAAGAAAAATGGATAATAATACACCATTTGATGCCGTCATAGTGGGTTTTGAAACGACAATCGATGATGTTTATTGTCATGTCGATTCCTATATGACATTTAATTAAAAATTGTCATAAAAACCAAATCAAAAATGAACATTTAAATGGAAAAATGTAGAAAGTTTTCAGATACACCAATCATTAAACACGTAAATTTAGAATATTTTTGATAAATTGATTTTTGTTAGGAAGCTGTTTATTTTTGTCTAAATTAAATATTAAAATTTTACCAGATTGTATGTCAGTTATTAATAGATGATATACAAGGAGAGCCTGACAATTTATGGGCGTGATTGCAATGACGCGAATTCACTTTGACGCGTTTTGTTTTCGATTGTACTTAGGTATGTATAAAAAATGACAGTGTGTTTTTGCTCACTTCGGTAACTTCTAAATTGACAGTTGTATTACTGTTTTTTCCTACATCTAATAAAATAACATTAATAAGTATATTATGATTAAGTAATACGAGTATAACGAGGTATTAATCTCGTTATTTTACTTAATCAATAAGAAATCAGATATTGTTTAATCAAACACTGAAACAGAAATCTCTAAAGCCTCTCTAAGCGAGACTACATGACAGTGCATTTGTCTGTCATTTTAATTCGCAGGTGAATAGTTTTCTGTCATTTTTTGCATATGATCTGTCGGAATCTTCCATAACTCATTGGACAAACCCTATTTAATAAATTTATTTATTTATTTATTTATTTATTTATTAATACCAGTTAATTTACAATGTAGAAATACATGATAAACCGCAGAGAGACAGAGCTCTGTACGCGGACCGGTTTAACTTAAAAAATTAACAACTAAAAACTAAAAAACTAAGAAGTATGAAACAAAAATAAATATAAATACAAACAAAAATAAAGATCAATTACTCATAACTTAAGCTACAGGCGATCAGTATTCCGCTTTAGCCAAAACCTGATAGTTCTCTTCAAATTTTTCTTTTCCACTGTTAAATTTTTCAATTCAGTTGGTAAGAGATTGAAAATTTTTATCGCTTTAATGTAACTGTCTTTATCACTTATTCTTTTGCTATTTTTTGGTATAATTATGTTTTTGTTTCTTGTAATACTTTTGGAGTTTATATATTTGTTTTTTAAGATCTCATAGTGAAAAGTTATTGCTTCTAAGTTATAAATTTGTTCAATACTTAATGGATTTTTGTCTATTACAAAAGAGTTGTTGTTGATTACTTTCAGTATTCTTCTCTGTAATGTATTTAATAGCGTAAAATAGTTATCATAAGCACCACCCCATGCTATAATACCATAACTAATAACACTTTGAAAGAAGGCATAATAAATTGTTCTAAGCATTTCAACATCCATGTATTTTCTTAGTTTATAGAAAACAAAAATTAAATATTTAGTCTTGCTAATCAGATATTCAATTTGTTTATCCCATTTTACATTAGAGTCAAAAATAATACCCAAATATTTACAACAATCAACTCTTTTTACATATATGTCTTTAATTTTTATTTCAACTAATTTAGGAACACTATCTGAGTAATTTCCAAAAGTCATGAAAACAGTCTTATCAATATTTAAAGACAGTTTATTAAGTGCAAGCCAATTTGCAACCTTATCTAGTAGTTCATTCATTTTTTTAATACTTTGCTCCCAAGTGTCCTCAGTAGCAATGATTGCAGTATCATCTGCATACGATATTATACAACCATCCTGTATGCCAATTAATAAATCATTTACATATAAAATAAACATCAATGGCCCAAGGATAGTTCCTTGAGGCACTCCAATAGTTACATCTTTATTCTCGCTTATATAATCATTAATTTTAACTCTCTGCTTTCTATGCTCAAGATAACTTTTCATTAGTTCATTGGCCTTGCCTCTAATTCCCATACATGAAAGCTTATCCAATAATATACCATGATCTACCGTGTCAAAGGCTTTTGCCAGATCTAAAAAAGTTATTAATACTGGTTTGCTTTTGTCTAATTTGTTATAAATGATGTTAGTTATATGATTTAAAGCGTCTGCAGTTCCTATTCTTTTAATAAAACCAAATTGTTTTTTAGATAAAATATTACAATTTATAATAAATTTATAAATTCTTGAATGAACAATTTTTTCAAAAATTTTTGCAATATTCGAGATTAAAGAGATAGGTCTGTAGTTAGATACCATAGATTTACTTGAACTTTTATGTATGGGAACTATATCAGCTAATTTAAGTGCTACCGGCCAAGTCGATTTCTCGATGCATAAGTTGAATATGTAACTTAGTGGCTCTACTATAAAATCAGCAATGGTTTTTAATACTTTAGTATTGATCATATCGACTCCACCATTTTTGAATTCAAATTTAGTAATTATATTATAAATCTCTATAGGACTGGTAGGTTCTATGAATATAGTTTTCTTATTTAATTTTGGCATTCTCAATGACTGATCCAGTGGCTTTACTATTTTATTACTCAATTTTCTTCCAACTGAGCTAAAATAATTATTAATTGTATTTACTATCTGTAAGTTGTCAGTAAGTTTTTGGTTGTTCTCGTTTATTAAATAGTCAATCTTTGTTTCTTTTTTGGTTTTCTTTGATATTTTAGCATTTACAAAATCCCACAGTTTTCTTGTGTTATTAGCGTTGTTTCTAATTTGATTCTTATCAAAATTTATTTTAGCATGTTTAATAATTATACTTAGCCTATTCGTAAATTGTTTGTACTTTAATTTTAATTCATCATTGCTTCTATCTTTAATCCACTCATGGTACAGTTTATCTTTCTTATTACATAATTGTATAATATCATTAGTAATCCAGTTCTTTCTATGTCTCGTTTTCTTATTGTTCACAATCATTGAATTACTAATACAATTTTTAATGCTCGAGATTAGAAAATTAATAGCAACATCTGGATCATTCATATTGTACACTTCATTCCAGTTAGTGTACATGCATTGTTCAATAATATGTTGTAGTTTATATTAAAATTTTTAGTTTGTTTTATTTCTTGAAATAGTTTATTCTTTTTATTTTAACAAGTAGAGTATAGTGATCCGTTATAGTATTTTTAATTGTATAAGTTTTACATTTAAGTTATCAATTTTATAAAAAAATATTATCAATGCAAGTCCCACTAATATTTTCTGTATTCGATGGTCTAGTGGTGTTCTGGAAACCTGGTACAAACCCCATTTCAAGAAAATTATTTAAAAATTCTTGCGAGTAAATATCACATTTTAGCAAATCAATGTTGAAATCACCAACCACAAAGTGATTTCTATATTTTTTAACTTCATTTAAATATGATTTTAAATTATAAATAAATTCAGCTTTGGTTATACTATGAGATCTATATAAAGCCGATATTTCAATGTTGTTACCATTATTCATTTTGATAGAAGTGTTTATTATATTTAATTTATTAACCTCGATAATTTCAGTTTCCTCTATGATATCACTTTTTATATAGATAACAACACCGTCAGCCCTATTTAACTTACTTTCATTGTAATACATTCTATAGCCTGCCAAATTATAAAAATTATTATTTACAATGTTCCAAGATTCAGTACAACAAATATAAAAGGTTTGATATACAAGCTTGCAACAAAAATTTCTAGGCTTTCAAAATTAGCATCTATGCTCCTAATATTTATATTTAGTACTATATTATCATTACTATTTACATTTCTATTGAAAGCTTCCACATCATTACAGCTTTCTTCACTATGTATCAAATCTTTCTGTATGTTATCAAGAAAATCCAAATTAAGAGCCATTATTATTTCTTGCAACATTTGTTGCCTTCTTACTTATGATAGTACTTGTGTTGTTGAGTGGATTATATGGATAGTCTGTTTTAGCGATGCATTTACCAAGAAGTGCTTTGTAAGATGGGCAGATATTCCTATTTCCAGCTGCATGGTTGATCGGCCTATTTTGATTATATCTATTATTAAAGTCTATACAATTAGAACATTTAGTGTCGTCCTTTTGTTGACAGTTTTTGCTCGAATGATTCTGAGCACAATAACCACATATTTCATTATTTCTACATTTCTTACTACTATGACCATACTTTGAACACTTGTAACATATGTTTAAGTTGAAATCATCAAACACAGGACATCTATTCGTAAATAAATGGTATAATAAATATAAATGGATAATTAATTTATTTTTCAGGGCTTCTCCTATGAATCGGTATACTTTTCCTTGTGCCATATCTACAGTGGGGCAGCTCATGTCCCAGATTCGATCAGCTTGGTGGAACTAGCCTCCCTCGCCGACATGCTGGGACTTGAAGGGCTCAAAGAAGTGGTCGAACACGCATTGAAACAGAGGCACTGTCATAATTTTCATAAACCCTGCGCCGGTAAGTGTTTTTTTTTCTCAAATCAACAATCAAAAGGTTTTGGAAAGTCGATGATCTATGCACGGAAAAAAAAAAAAAAATGTTCTAGCAGTTACGTTTCTAGTCTATGAATATCATAGAGTGCCGTCTCTCTCGATCCTTAGTAGAAATCTTCCCTTAGAGTCGGTAGTTTTGTACATTATCCAGAGATATCGCTAGCCATTTCGTGCTAATTTTAATGTATGGTAAGCATGGTGGTAAGGGTCAGGAGACTCTTTTGGGACTCTATTTGAAAAAGTGGTCACCAAAGTGGGAAGAATAAGGGTGCACTAAATAACCACATTGGCGCTAACAAGCAATAAGGGAGCGAACTGAACTTAGCGGTTATAAGTTATAAATAAAGTGAAGTTAGTCAAAAAGAGAGGCAACATGCGCCTTCAAAAATCTGATATTTATCTATCTCTTTTTAATTATTTGCCTTTCTAAAAATTTTTGACGCTTCTTTCAAATGTAGAACTTTTGCTATAGCAGCGCCATCTTAAGTGTTCTCTGTTTGAAGCCCACTTTTCAATACTCGAAGATAATTCTCTTTACCTCTACCCTCTATCTTTTAATAGCGTTTTGTACTTTATTTTCTATTAATTTATGTATTTTGTTATATAATTTCAAATGTAGGTTGTTGCACTGGAGTGTTGGAAGTCCTCCCTCTATCGGCTGCCTACGGTTTGGACGACCTGTATCAAAGATGTCTTCAGTGGACCACGCAGCATTTTGTGCGTGTTTGGCCTAGTAGAGCCTTTGCTAGTTTGCCCAGAGAATTACGGGAGAAATGTTATCAGCAGCATGTTGTGCATATGACGCCAGAGAAGGTTTGTATCCGATTAGAATGTTCTTGTACTTAATGTAAATTGATATTTATATTTTCAGGTACTGGAAACTATGTCGGCTTGTGATAAGGTTCTGGCGACGTTACCGGCAATGAGATGGGCAGAACCAGTTTCCCAGTTGGTTCTACAACTGTCTGATGCCTGTCATTTGTATCACCGGTATGTATAATGATATTTTCAAACCAAGAACTAACTCACATTTCACGACAGTATTTCGAGGATTTCGAATAGTCTTTACATGGACGGGATTTTTCCATATGCATATAAATAACCAATGCATATAATAACCCCCTGTGGTGTTTCCGTGCTGTAAGAGAAAGACAACATAACCAAGCTCCATATTAATGCTGCATAAGTCTATTTCACCTGTATATCTATAGAACTGTGATTGGGCCAAACTCTGATTGGTTGTTGTTGAAGTTCTCTTTTCGATTCCTTTTTGTTTGTGCGTGTAAAAGAGTGATTTTGTTTTTATTGTGTCCAACCATATTTTCGATATTTTTTCAGTTCCACGATAATGTGTTATAAACTTTGGATATAAATAATATAAAAATATATAAAATTAAAGGTTAGGTGAAATGTCAGTCAACAACTTACCTTTGAAAACACTGACCAATGAAAACTTTTTCAGGTGGGGCATGCACATTCAAATGAATATCCGGGCAAAATAGACTTATGTAAAATTTCATATTTCTCTTTCACCTTTTCAGCATCACTAGTAGTATATTTCTATAATACGTGTATGGATTTTTTTCGGTTGCAGTAAAGGTTGGCAGATTTAACGACCATTTTTAACGCGCCTTTTAAAGAAAGAGAAAAGTGGCAAAGCTAAATTTAAAATGTATTATACCGTAGGATCGTAAAAAAACGGCGTCCAGTTAGCTGGGAAATGACGATCGATGACGTTTCCCATACAATTTTAGATAATAAATTACAGCGATCTTCATTTCATAGACATCGCTGACGCCGTTTTATTTTCGATCATACGATACCATATGATTGAATAAAATTGGCGTCAAAGACGGCTGGGGAATGACAGTCGATGATAATTTTGGCGAGATGAATCTCTAGACGTCGTTTACTAAAAATTGACATATTTGATGAACACTGATTATAGAAAGATTAAAAATTATAGAACGTTTTCAGACACAAATCTATTTCCAAAAAATAATTTTTCTCGAATTTTCAACTATACCATTTAAAAATGATGTTTACTCAATATAAAAATAAATTACAACCTTCGTAAGGAAGAGCGCCCACCAAAGTAACGTAGCATCTGACGTGGCTCGTGATCTGGCAAATAATGCATCTAGCAAGTTTCGTCGAATTGAACGAACGACAATAAATGAATCGCATACTGAAGTAGCGCTGTGAGAGAAACATGTCATTTGTCGTTGTAGCATGCCACGCCACTGTTTCAAAAATAGACCTAGTTCTATTTTTGAGTAACGTGTTAATAAACACGTTACTCGAATTTAGTAAAAATAAAGCACGATCCACACTTAAATATACTTTTTTATCACTGATTGAGGCTTTTCTAACTAGCCCATCAAAGGTTTCTTTTTTCATTCTATAAAATGAAATCTTTCCAGATACCCATATTCAATTCCTTAAAAACACTAAATCCACTATTGCTTTGTCTCTTTTTCACAAAAGGGATATATCCAATAGCGACGCTTTGTATAATTTTGGTTTATATTGATTAGGTTTACAACTGCTAACAAATCTTCGTCCTCTGAGGACGACATTTTTACGCCACTGCCACTACACTTATATCTGCGCTTCCTGAAAAATCATGCAGTGCTGTTTCTATATTATTGCCGTGTAGGTGCAACGTCATATGGTCACTTTGGTGGGCGCTCTCCCTTACCCCACTGACAGTAAGCGCCATTAAAAAATAAAGAAGAGTATGGACCAATTAATGACATCTACGACTTGACCTCGCCAAAAGTATCATCGATTGTCATTTCCCAGCCGTCTTCGACGCCTTTTTTTTCGATCATATGGAACTATATTATGTTTAGAGTCGCTTTTTTAAACAAATCTTTTAGGGTATTTTTCTGTAGTTTGAGTTAATGATTAAATTTTTACGTCTTTCCTCAGGCAACATTTCGCTGCTGTTCTTTCATCGGCCTTCTTCCACAACTTGGACGCTGGCCTGGGATTCGGAGTGTGCCAAGTAGAAGATCAAATGCTGGCGGCTGCCAAGAATTTAGGTGTGGAGCAGGCTTGCAGGAGTTACTCGCGCTGCTGCAAATTGTTGGACTCGAGGTGGAGCCGACCGTTCGCCGATCTTCTGAACAAAATCAAACTTCAACTGGAACAGTGTCTTGTCAATCAGGCGGACAGGCTGATCAGGAGCAATGCGTGGTTACGACTAGATACCGTTTTAAGGTAGGCAAATCTCCCTTATTATTTTAATACCTTTGTGGAAGGTTCACTTTTCGAAAAAAAAATGGTATTTCGCAATTAATTATGCAAAACAAATTTTCAGAACGCGTATAAAAGAATTGACACCATCTATCGAACCTCAAAGTCGTCTGCCACGGGCTACGCCTCAAAGGAGCAAAAAGGCAGTAGCTCAAAGTCCCATTATTTCATCGTCGGATTCATCCAGGAATTCCAGTCCTGGAATGAATCAGGGACGGCTACCTGGAGGAAGTCCATCCTTGAGGAGAAGTCTGCTATTAGCCGCAAAAGCACCTCAAGTAAGCTGAAACTTATTTGTACATATTATATATTTAGTGATGGGAAAAACCGATGAATTTTAATAAATAATATTAATATAATTTTATTAATGAATAATCGAGAACTCGAGTTTCAAGCGATTTCAATAATCGCGCGATCACTCGAGCGAAATTTCGCTCATATTTAAATATACGGTTTTTCGCCGTCGCCGTCGCTTGTACTTGTACTCGTAACACCTATCAGCAAGCTGCGTGCGCAGAGCGCATATTCTTTCTATGATAGTGGCAAGCGGCAAGCGACGAGTAGTTTCGCTTGATCATGCATCGAAGCCTTGTCGATGTAGGTGGTAAAATTTTGTCACACAGTTACGTAACAGATAACGTCGTATAATTAACAATGCGGTCGCAATCAAAAGAACAATCTGTTGTTTGAAGATATTTTACCAAAAATACTGATAAAATATTGCCAGTCTGCAATGTATGTAGCAAATTCGCTCGATAGGATCGCTTGCGTTCGTCGCTCGTTCATAATCGAGCGATGTCGGTTATTTCAATAATCGAGTACTCGAGCGAAGTTTCGCTCTAGTTATCCCATCACTATATTATATCATAAGTCAGTAGCGGCTTCTGATAAAAATGTTAAAGTATTCTGCAAATTTTGAGCAAAAAAAAACTACTTATAAATAATAATACTTAACACTTAACTTATTTGTTGTGAATTAAGTCTATCTTACGTTCTTTACAATTCGCGTTTTAGTCCAGTAAATGAAGGTTGAAACTACGGCCTAATTCGTCGACCGGGACTTTTCAGGTGGGTTGTGTACCTTTTGGGGAGTAGTTTTATGGGAAAAAGTTGTAACACCATGCTCGGCCTACTACTAATTCTACCATTTTGACGACCATTTTTGAAGGTAATTACCTAAACTTCATTTTTTATTCCAAGAAAAATTGGAAATTGCTTATTTTGGAAGATATTTGCGAAAAACTTTGAATAAGAAGACTAAGGAAGGAGCATAATGCTATCCATGTATTCATGCATGGTTGGCGGAAAAAGCACTCTAGGGTGGGGATCCTTGACAGTTCTGTTTGACGATTCATTTGACACATTTGAATTTGATTTGAAATTTTGTGGATTTGTCAGTCTTTACGGAGCTTCTTTTATGTTATTTATTATTTATTCTACTACTGATAGTTGTATAAAGGTAGTAAATCTAGATGGAAATTGTGGCAGAACTTAAATTAACAGTGACACTATCGCGATTTATCGAAAAAGACTCTAAAATAGTTGGTTGTGTAGCGTGCGGTAGATCTCGGCAAAAATTGAGTGAAATAATGGAACAACTTTTCGCTAGTAAGTGACTATATAATATACATACGTGTAATAAACCGATCATTTATGAAATTCACTTAAATTAACTAAATTATATTTTTTCTTGCATTTTAGCTTTTATTTATTACTTGTCAAAGATTAGATTTCAAAGAATTTAGATACGTTAATTTGACTTACCTGCTTCAGTAGCGTATCGGATGTTTGTGTTAATAAATACTTATTATAACTTATCTATTTTTATTAGAATTATATATTTTTATAACAATTTTAATAACTACCAACATTTGTTCACAACGTAAAATAAAACAACAAATTATTGAGTCTACCCACGTCTACCCTACATCATAGTTTTACATTTTTTAAATAAAATTAGAACGACACTGATAAACCGGAATTGAAGTCGGCCATATTTGATGCCCATCGCGGTGTACCTAAGATTTTTGATATGCTCCTTCTTCTTCTTCTTCAATGGCGAAAAACTGATTTTTCGGCTAAAGCTGGCCGAGCACAATGTTATACTTTTCCCGCTAAAACTACTCACCAAAAGGTACATAAAGGTGCTGTCTAAAAGTCAAGGTCGACGAATTACGCCGAGGTTTGGGTCTTTTTGTGTACTTATTTACTGGACTATTTATTAAGTGAGTAGTCGTGGACGGTATCGATCGCTATTTATTCCAAAACATTTATTACTAATAAGCATGTCTTATATTTGTTTTTTTTATGCATTATCACTGTATCTCCATGATCCAGGTACCACCCAGCCCCTCTACCAACAGGCGCAGCACCCTGACGCAGCCCACGGCCGCTAGCGCCGCACGCTCAGCAGCGGCCAACGCTCAAAGGCAAGTGAAAAGCGCTCCCTTGGTATCGAACAGGCCTCCGCCACGAACCGCAGCCAACGGCAACGTTAGGCCCGCGTCGGGGGGCAGCGTGAGGTCTACGTCGACCGGAAGTAGCGGCGCCAGGCCGAGTTCGTCTCACGGTTCGATGTCCAGCAGCACCTGCGCCAATCAGAAGCAAGCGGGAGGGTCAAAGAGGGGCTCTAGTGCTGTGTCGAGGAATCCTAGTATAGGCAAGAAGGATTTACAGATGACTATATCAAATAGGTACGTAAAATTAACAGGTATGTGATATTTTTAAGCAAGGGTTCCCAAACTGAAATGAAAATATATTTTTAAAAAAATTTACATTTATCCAAGGAATCACTCTTCAGATACTACCTTGTAAGAGAAGTTACATCTCCTAGTTTGAGCTCTCCAGTAAACTGTCCAGTGGCGTGCATTTAATGTAGGCAAGAAGGCCGGGTTCTCTTTGAATAAAAAATAAACCCCTTTGAATAAAAAGATTAAGGAAAAAGCATATAAAAAATCTTATATCAAACGTGACGGGGTCCTATAATGGCAGACTTAAATTTCAGTTTATCTAATTTTATTCAAAACGTGTAAATATGATGTAGGGTAGACTCAATAATTTATTGTTTTATTTTACATTGTCAATAAATGTTGGTAGTTATAAAAATTGTTATAAAAATAGATAAGTTATAATAATTATTTATTAACACCTTTGATTAACACAAACATCCGATACGCTACTTAAGCAGGTCAGTAAAATCGACGTATGCGTATAAAAGCAAAAATGCAAGAAGAAATATATAATTAGTTAATTTTAAGTGAATTTCATAAATGATCGGTTTACTACACGTATGTATATTACATAGTCACTTATAGGAGGAAAAGTTATTCCATTATTTCCCTTGATTTTTGACCGAGATCTACCGCTCGCTACACAACCAACTACTTTACAGTCATTTTCAATAAATCGCAATAGTGTCACTGTTAATTTAAGTTCTGCTATAATTTTCTTTTAAATTTACTACTTTTAAATAACTATCAGTAGTATAATAAATAATAAACAACATAAAATAAGCTCAGTAAAAACTAACAAATCCACAAAATTCCAAATCAAATTCAAATGTGTCAAATGAATTGTCAAACAGAACTGTCAAGGATCCTCACCCTAGGGTCCTTGCATGAATACGTGGATAGCATTATACTCCTTCCTTAATCTTTTTATTCAAAAACTTGTCCTATTTTTATTTTATTATTTTGCCAATTTTGCACGCCACTGCAAAATAATTCGGAAAATCGGAAATCTTCTACTACCTTTTTTTTACTTTTCTATACTTTCTTTCACAGAAAACCTGACAGCAGATGTGGTTCCCCATTGAAATCGGACAGCCGAACCAGTTCTCCAAGAAAGCTAGACAGCAGAGTGACGTCTCCCATCAAGGCTAACATCAGAAGCCCTTCTCCTTTGAAAACAGACCACAAAACACAATCTCCCAGAAAAATGCGATCAAATGAACGTAAGTCTATTATTATCATACCTTACATTAGCATATCATCGAAAAAAATCAGTGTCATGTTGGCTTTGTCAATTCTAAGTCAACTCGACACGGTTTTTTTTTATATTTTTTTGATATTTATACCTATTTTTCGCTTTTTTTAGCTTCAAAACCGCCCGTTCCACAGCCTACTATCCAGAGGTCGGGCACGTTTTTAAAAGACGAACCTACTGTCCTAGGCAAGGTTATGTAATTATTACTTTTAGACATTCCCCTATATTTTTCCTAGTCCGTAATACATTCCGCAAGACTTTTACTACGTTTTAAGGTGATAGTTTGCTTTTTAGAATTTATTTGTAGCCCTTAATGTACAGGGTGTGAGAGGTTTCGATGTTTTAGTAAAGAATCTCGAATATTATCAGTTTTTAGCAATATATACATGGTCGGAAACGCCTGGCTTTGGGTACGCCTGGATTTTCGTGTGTACTAAGGGTACGGTTAATATGTTCAGTACAATAAGATGTACTGAACAAAGGGAGAAGAAAAGTGAAGCATGAAATAAAGGACCTGATTAAGTGGTTATGTAATAAACACTTCACGTTTTTCTCTCTCTGACTTACAAGATCGCCATAACGATTCACTCCTAGAAATGTGGGTACCCAAGACTCTCTGTTGCCGACAGGGTATAACAAAAAGGATTTTCAATCAATTTTTTTTTAAAAAGCATTTATGTCGGTTGATGACAAAAAAAATCGCTAATAACCCAAGGACAAAAAATGATAAAGTTTTTTTAATCATTTATTAAAATTCGAGAATCTACGAAATATCGTTCACCCTGTATACATCTTTGATTATTAACTCTTTTTAATTCCCTTAAAATCAAATCAGAATTAAAATAGATCTATGCCATAATTAATTGAATGAATTATTGATAGAATAATAAGTCTACGCATATAAGTCTAACCAGCGAGAAAATGTACGATTTTGATAGACGACGTCCAAAAAAGACAGCAAAAACAAATTACTTTTGAATTAAAATCACAGCTAACAACTGGACAGGCTATACATTCATGGATGTGCTCTCATTTTATAATCTTTGCGACATTAATATTTTATTTAACGCTTATAAGAATGAATAAAAATATGTAATCATCTATGGGGAGCTAATATACAACTATAGACTTGGTGCATTTCAGTTGATTTTAAAACTACCCACCGCAGCGCTCGATACGGCAGAAATTAAAAGTGCCCTAAAAGTATTTCACGTAGTCCCGATACCGTTTATGTCGATCGTCATAACATATTTAAGTATTTTCGTTTTTACTAGTAACAGTTATTGAAACTATAAAACACTCAGGTACAAGGTTTGTGTAATATAACGCTGTTTTGGGTAATAAACAAATCGCGTTGTGTTGTGAAAAAAATGTTAACGCGTAAAGGAGGGTGTAATTACCTGGTTGTTGGGTGCAATAACATTCAATAACTCAACTTTCTCGGATTTTCAACTCTCCCGAAACAACATTTTATAGCTTTAGTTTCTCACACCGATTTAATTAAAAGGAAAAGTGGATTCAAGCAGTTCGACAAAACAAGTGAGTAAACAAAGTGCCCATTACATAATCAAAAAAATTAAATAGGCATATACCATGAGAGGATAAAATATAATTTGTGATATTAATAGTATACTTTTTTAATCAACTAGTGCTTAAATTTTGGGTCTGGTACATTTTAGGTACGTCAAATTTTTAAATTTTTCTATACACAATTGAGAAGAGAGACACTTATGATATTTTCTAACGAAAAAAGTGCGGATCGTCCATAAATAACACCAAAAACAAAACACTCCCAAACAAATGTTGAAACCAAAGCAATCAAAACGCAGTTACGGCGGACGCTTTTACTATTTTGATCCTCTTCTCAACCTTTAACACAGATCAAAATATAATATCTATTCTTATCGGCTTAATATCGCTACGGCTATTTTTCTAAATTAACAGGAAAGTATAAATAAAACAAAATCCCGATTTTCAATATTTCATTCTTACCGCCAGCGATATGCGCAGATGCGAGCAAAATACAAATAAACCTAAATCTGCGTCTTTGTCACTCTTATTAAACTTAATAAAGAAAGCTATATTCTAACCTTAAAAAATAAATAATTTTATTGCAGTTATCTCAAACATTTAGCCGAGAATCCGTACTTAAAACGTTAAACATTAATTGTAGAATATATTAATATCAAATTTACATCAATAACTTCAAGATTGACGACGTACCTAAAATGTACCATCACCTAAATTTTTTAGATAATTTTCTCAATATCATTTCGTTATAGCCGAAATAACCCCAGTTATGTCTCCACTAGTAAAACCAGTGCGTAAAACTATGCTCGCTACCGTAGTTGAACTCATCTAAAAAGTTTTATTAGCTTGAATAATAACTTATAAAAGTTAGACCTTCTGAAGATTACAAAATATTCACTTTTTTATTTTTATACACAGCACCGGCGGAGAATGCACCAAGCCTATACAATAATATGCAATACCTGACGAATAATGAACCTAATATTTTTTTCTACACAATGAAATCAATGTATAGTCATTTTAATTCAAAAGTAGATTGTTTTTCTTCTGTCATTCTTTAAATGTCATCTGTTAAATTATATATTCCTCGGCCGACAGACTATATGAAGATTTTGTGAATGAGAGAAAATTGTTGTTTATTTATAAAAAATAAAAAAATGTGTTCATGGACACAAATGTCCCCAAAGTGACTTAATTCTATTTTAAGCAGTTGTCATCTGATTACATTGAACAATTTTCTTATACTATTGAATGTGCGTCAGTTCTAAAGATTAATAATCTACAAAATCCATTTGGACTCTATAAAAATATCAATTTTAAATTGCCCGTTGGATGTCTCTCTTTTGCTTGTGATATAATGATTATTATAAACTCTTGGTATTCTAAAAATCTTTTTACAGGGTGATCCCATTTTTCGTAACAGGACTATAGATTAAATAGAAAGATATTTGAAGTTATAATATTGAAATTTAAAAAAAAATCTGTTATATTTTAAAATATCTTAATTACTGGAAATTATTAACACAAAAATCCAGTATTGGAGTTCTGGGATTCTTCAATTTTTTTCAAAATAAAAACACTGTAATCTACACCAGTCTGAAAAAAAACCGTCATGATGTTATTTACTGTCCTGCTCCAAAAAAATGGTCCACACTGTATATTGGGTGTTTTCTATTTTAATTCTAATACTTAAAAGGCTCAGCTGATACCCGAAACTATTATAGTATTATATTTAATACAGCCTAACAATAAAATAACATAAACTATAAGAGTTTTTAATCAAAATATAAATAACAAACAATACGTAGCTTTGTAATGTCTCAAAATGACCTTACAGGTGTTTTGAACTAGTCATATGTCATGTAGTTCTTAAGTTGCGATCTCTAAAAAATATTTTTCTAGTATTTATTTTTGTTTCTCTTAATTTTGTGATATATTTTTTTTCTTGTAACCATTATAAGTGTGAAAAATTATCTGTTATCCCATCAAGTTATTAATTTCACCGTCATTATCTGGCATTTTTGTTGAATTTCCAATATTTACCGATTACTACCCTATGTGCAAAGATTCGATAGTTTTTTGTATTTAGGGTGCTATACAGAGTAACCCAGAATTCTGAAAAAGCTCTATCTCTTATGATACTAAATGATGTTCGTGGGCAAAAATACAACATTTAGTTTTGAATCGCTCCTGTATATATCAAACATTACAAATGGAGATAAAATATATCATTGTGGCATTATTGAAATAAGAAAAATATACAACTTCAGTTCAAAAATATGTTTGAATCACCCTCTATATAAACCTGAGCCTTTTCGGAACGCTAGGTCACCCTGTATATATCGGATGTGATAATTTAAGAAATAAAACTAACATTAACTATATACAAAATGTCATTATTGATTGTTAAATAGAAATATTACGTGTGAATGTTATTATCGTCTGTATTATCAAATATTTTCATTGTATTATTATCATAATCTTTGTTTGTGAATTTGTTTTGTCATCACAGGAAGTTTTACAGTATGAGAAAAATAATTAATCTGTAAAAATTCCCTGGTAGACAATTATCTCGTTTTTATTTTGATTTTTCAGAATATCCTTAATTCCATATGTATTTGTGTCTTTGTAATTTCAGTTTTAATGATATTACAATGTTTTTTTTTTCTTTTAAAGTAATGTATCTTTAAAATTATATTATTAAATAGATATTTTAAACTTCCAGGTTTTATCATCAATTAATTATTCCTAATAAAAAAGCTATAGTTTGTCCGACGAAAGATCCATGACAGTCGTGTCTATTCCCTGACTGATTGGACAGACTATAACTACTATGGCTTGTTCAGTAAAATGGGACAGTGGCAGTAATTATCTGACAATTTAATTAAAAATATGTAGTCTGTCATTCTTTTGCTGGACATGCTAAAAATACCTTATGATCGAAAGAAAAAACGGCGTCACGGTAACCTTCTAAATGACAAAGAAGATAGTTTCGGTAAAGCTCACTTCTAAAAGTCTTTTACTAAAGGTAAAGTAAATAAATAACACACAAGAATAGGGTTAATTCTTTATTAGATTACAGCTTTACGTGGTAAACTCACGTAAAATCGGAAACAAAAATAGAAAAATTTTAATCACAGTAACCGTCAAGTACCAACTTAAGAACATTTGTGGCTGAATTTTAATTCCTTTAGAACGATAAAGAAAACGGATCGACAGCGGGTTTTCCGTTGTATTAGTACAAGTTTATTCGAATGGGACGCAAACAAAATGCATCTGGAATAATACTTAATCTCATTGAAGTGTTGGTTTGGTTTCAATTAATCTGAAAACAAAAAGAAATCAAATCAAAATTGATTCAAGAGTAAAAAATAACTGTTAATTTATAAAAAAAAACAAGATAGAAGACATAAATATTAGGTTTGTTCCAACAAAGGAATTTGTACCGTTCTAAAACGGTAATTGGTTCGCTGGAATCGTTTTTATACGCATGAGTCGACTTGGACAGTTCTGTTACTCTACCAAAATTAAATGTTGGTTGGAACGGTTTTTGAACCGATTTCAGAATCAAATTCAAAACCTAAGTTTGATATTATGAAGACTTAAAGTAAATAATGTTCTAGTTGCCAAAATCATTAATTTGAGCTAATTAACATTTTTTGTTACATAACCAAGGTATAAGACCGGTTATGTTGTTGATTATGAAACTTAGAACATTTTACAAATAAAACATGACAAACCAATTTTTTGACACTTAGAACATTATTTACTTCAAGTTTTATCTTATATCAAGCTATCTTCGAGTTGTGTATTATTTTCGATGTAAATTTCAAACCTCATGCTTTGATTTTTAAAAAGCATTATTAGTTCTTCCAATTTTATAACTTCACCTTATAAATACTGTGCCAATTTTGGGTATATTAAAATATTTAAAATACTAAAATAGTAGTTTTTTTTAATTGACGATTGTGTGCGTGTGTCAGTGCAGGTGTCAACATTTTTCCGAAAATTTGTGTGATTTTCTTTCTTTTGTGAGTTTTTTTTAATGGGAAATTTTGAGAAGTAGCAATTTTTAAAAGAGATGAGATGAACTTTTAATATTGACTAATTGAATACTGAATTAATTTTTAAAATACATATTTGTATTTTAGATGTTTTAATAATATGAATTAGTTGAACCTAATAATCATATTTAAGTAATGTGGTTAAGTAAATGGTTATCGAACTCAAACTATGGGGTGAGAAAATTAAATTGAAAGTTTTACACGTGCCAATTTAAAAAAAGTTAACGATGTTTGTATTTTATTTATGCTAATTCTCTTTCATGTAGTTTTTTGCGAAGAAATATTTCATTTACTTTTTAAAGTAAATGCCAGTAAAAGTAAATATTATTTTTAAATAGTAATATAAAGTACCTAATATAAATAATTTTGATTTCTAATTTTTTATTTATATTTTCCTTCCATTACACTGCATGCTTAGAAAATTAATAAATGTTTATATTTCATGATTTTAAAGTTTGTTGTTAATATAACAAATTAGTTCTGTAATTAGTATTATTTAATAAACCAACGTTGCCACACAAAAAATTTAGAGACTATATTATATTTAAATAGGATCTAATATAAATAATTTTGACATCTAATTTGTTGTTTATATTTTGCTACTACTTAAAAAAATGTTTATATTAAATTATTTTAAATTTTGTTGTTAATAGGTATAAAAAATTATTACTGTTATTATTATTTATTAAACCAGTCTTTGCTTAAAAACATTAAAAATAATTTTCCTACATCCAAAATAGCAAGTATTATTGAAGTGTAACAACAGAATATTAATAATAAAAATGCAAAATATATAGACATACTATCCCTAACTAACTAAAGCCAAACAATAATATTCTTTGCTAATATCAACTAATACCAATATATGGCAACAGCGCCCTTCATAATGTATTTTCTGTGTAAATACGAACACCTCAATAAAAAAAATAATGTGTCCTTATCTTTATCTGACTCCGCAAAAAATGAAAGATGCCGGCTTCTTTCATAGCATTGCCACCGACCGCTGCCGGGTTTCTCGGAAAGAAACCTATGCCGAGCGACAACTAAAATCCAGTTAATGTTTTATTATAATCGATCCTGACGAATAAATGAATTTTATAAATGAATGAATCTTATAAATGAATGGTTTTTGCTGCCGAATTACTAGAATACAATATTTCAAGGCAGATGACGCATCTATTCGATAATTTTTATTCGAATAGTTTTCAACGAATGTTTTTTTACTAGCTATCGAATTATTCGAATGAATTGCAACTATCGAATGTTTCGATAGTATTCATTCGATAGTTCCCACTACTACTTAAAGTAAATAATGTTCTAGTTGCCAAAATCATTAATTCGAGCTAATTAACATTTTTTGTTACATAACCAAGGTATAAGACCGGTTATGTTGTTGATTATGAAACTTAGAACATTTTACAAATAAAACATGACAAACCAATTTTTTGACACTTAGAACATTATTTACTTCAAGTTTTATCTTATATCAAGCTATCTTCGAGTTGTGTATTATTTTCGATGTAAATTTCAAATTTTGTATTTTATTGGATTTATTTACGGATTATTGAATTTTATCTTCTAATCACGAAATATCCTTTCCTTTATTTAACATAAGTTTCAGTAGTATCCACATAAAACGACTAAAGACCCCCATACACTTAAGTTATTTAGCTCGATTTTAACCGTGCAGTTAAAAAATAAATGGACCACATGTTCATTTAATACTTACAATCCCTGTTTCCGCCACCCGGTGCACCTCCGCTTCCTCCACTAAATCTGGATATACCTTCTCTACGGAAACCGCCGCCGCCGCCACCTCGACTGCCGCCACTGGAAAATAAATACGTTAAACACACTATCCTATTTTTATAACAAATTCATTGAAGATTATTCTTTAAGAAAAGTCTTAGAAATTAACGATTTAAAAACAAAAAATAGTTTTTCTCGTTATTTCCTGATGAATAACCTGTATTAGATTTACATAATTATTTTTGCTTGAAAATCTACGGTATATTTACCCGAATCCTCCTCCTGGGCGTCCACCGCCAGGGCCTCCTCTGCTTCCACCTCCGCGCCCGCCTCTTCCCCCGCCACTGCGTCCTCCGGGCGGGCCGCCTCTGCCTCCGCCAGACCGCCCTCCGTATCCGCCGCCGCCGCCACCTCCACGGCTCATCATCTCTGCCAATTTAGGATTCACCACCTTGGAAAAGATTTCACTTTAATTAAGTTATTCTAATTTTATTTTTAAGTAATTTATTGTAGGTATTTTTGGTATATTCCTTTAAAAATAAATTAAATCGATAAATCAAACAGAATAATTCAAAATTGTCATTAGTTCTTTTAAGACAGCTGTATAGAATAGCTAAAACTGTTCAATATTAATAATTAAACAATAAACTTCAACTAATCCAATTTTATTTGGCACAATTCCGACACCCAATTGAATAAAATAAAAAAACATCTAAGTGGGCTCTAATATGTGCTTAAATGATAAACGGATCTGGTCATCGAAACGTCGTGGTCTGGATTTTAACGTGTAAGACAGTGATGTAGACAGCCTAAATGAAAAATCAAATGTATCACAGAATATACTAACGAAAAAGAAGCCCAAGTTCCTTGCAATAAATCGGTTCCATTTTCGTAACGCCATCTCTCGACATAGCTGACATTATAGGTTAGCCAAAGGGGTGCGGGGCCGGGGGAATTTTAAAATACACTTTTTTATTTTAATTATTTTTATTCGCTATTTGCAATTTTATTTTTAAAACATATTATGTGAAACAATCACATAATATGTCTTAAAAATAAAATTACAAACGGAAACAAAAGGAATTAAATAATCTGAAAATCTACAAAGTTTATTGATAAAAAAGTTAGGCTATGCAAATTGATAAGTATATTAAGTATAACCTCTTTGGTATAACATTGTTAAACAAACATTAACAAATCATAACATAGAAACAATCATAGAACTAAAAAAAGTACTATTACATAAAAACAGGTGATACAATACTTCAAAATTAATTTTAACATAATATCAAAACCGAAAAATCAAACTGCAAACACAACCACACTTATCACAACAGAAATTAACACACACTTCCGCGGCAAATGTCCAAGAAAGACTGATCATTCTGATTGGTCAACTAATCCAATTTTATTTGGCACAATTCCGACACCCAATTGAATAAAATAAAAAAACATCTAAGTGGGCTCTAATATGTGCTTAAATGATAAACGGATCTGGTCATCGAAACGTCGTGGTCTGGATTTTAACGTGTAAGACAGTGATGTAGACAGCCTAAATGAAAAATCAAATGTATTAAAGAGAAAAAAGTTAGGTTGATACATTTCTTCTATGCAGTATTGCCAGATTTTGCTCAAAATTTCAAACCGCACAAGTAAGTAGGTGTTTACGAAAAATGTTGTATCTAGGGTTGGAACTTTATTTTTCACAATTAGTTGCTCATTTTACTACAGCTGTAATAGATTCTTAAACAACTGTTTGACAGAAATGAGCATTATTGAATAACTTAGATATATTATCTTCGTTTATTATTTTATTTCTTTTAACTGGCAACACTGTATGCCGCTTTTATTTTAACTCTCTGTCTGTCAACTGGTCGTATATATTTATCTGTTATGTTATATGCATTAAAATACAGACCACGGAGATAAAGTGAGCAGGGCTTATATAAGGAAATCAATAAAATTTGGCGTGTAGGTTATCAAGATATTTGTCGAATGCCACGTCTACTTTCTTTACTTTGGCTTTTGACAAGTGTTTCAAATGACCGATTTTTCAATTCAATGTTAGATACAATACATAAACAGATATTTTTTATATTGTAATCGCAAAACATTTTCCGATACACGTCATCATTCATATCGACATTGACACTAAAGTCTATAAACCTGACTAAATGAAATTTTGACAAAATGTTTAAATTTGATGTACAATTTAAGATACCGAGCAGCTCTTCATTTTACTTTATAGAGCAAATGATTGTAACCGATGTCTTATTTAGATTGAAGCTGCAAAAATTAGTTTAAACCGAATATTATTATCGCTATGTTGGTCACATTGCGCCGTGTTCAGCAATGTTGTCCTTTATTATTTGACAATTATCCTAGTGTCAGTCATTATTTTGTATAATATCGTGTTGAATTTTTGTAATTCTCGTTTTTTTGTCTATTTTCGTAGTCTTTTTCTTAGAAATTGCACTTTTAAGCACAAACAATTCTTTTAAGAATTTTTTTTTGTTTTGTATTGCATTTCTTCAAATTGTGTATTGAAAATATGCCGAAGCATTTAAACAGTCAAAGCAAAGAGCTTGTAGCTTCCCTGTTTTTTTAACTATTTTGAACGAGAACGTGAATTAGACTGCAGTCAAAAAAGTAAGTTTGATTGATAAGCACATTATACCACTTTCAAAGCTAGTTTTTATTAAATTCTGTGATTATTAGTTTGTGCATTAATAGCACCCTCTTACTTGTTAGTACCACTTATGGCGTTATAAGATGCACATCAATAAATAAATAGCCCATAATAACGCTTATAATAATCTTCATAATGGACTAGTTTTTGCCAATATGCAATAAATAAAATAAGCTATAAAACAAATAAGTCAATTAATCACTAAAATATTAGTTATTAAATTAAAAATAAAACGTAAACTCTATATAAAATGATATAATAAATACGTTCTTTGTCAATATTAAATTAAGATTCATCTCATAAATCCATCACAATCTGGCAGCGCTGTCGCCATCGCTTGTCACTCAAAGTTGATCCCGTTAGCATTATAACTTTGTCTATGATTATTACACAAATTCTAATTAATTAAAGTTATTATCAAAAAAAGAACACTCAGAATAAAATTGAAAATGACAAGATTAGAAAAAAATAATAAAATCTAAAATATCAGATGCTGCAAAGAAAAATGCCATGACAACTGGCAACATCTACCATGACTATCAACATAAATCTTTTTTATTGGCCAATTTGTTTATTTGGTGCGACAGTGTGCTGTCTTCTTTTAACCAGGACAAAGATTAGAACAAAAAGGAAAAATGGCGCTCTAAGTTTCAAACTACAGGCAGTCCTCGTACTTACGACAGGCAGGTTAGGTTCTTCAAAATAGCGCCTTAAGTCGAATCTTATTTCGTTAGGTACTTTTGTAAGATAAAAATACGATAAAACAGATAAAGAGATGTGGGTTTGTATATATTAATATTATTGTATTTTTAAATAATGGAGGTATGAGAACTAGTGTATTGTAATGTAGTTAAACTTATAATAATACAAGAAACAAAAAAAACGAAAAAAAAAACAAAAATATAAAAATGTATTTTTTTTATGAAAAACAAATTAGGGCGAGTATTTTTACAGTCCCGGCTTTTTCATTATCTAATCAAAAAAGTATTTTTAACTATCCATATAATAGTAAATATAATACATATACTAATATGGCAACTACAGAAATACCAGAGAGTAAAGTAGACATATTTAGAAAGTATATATTTATTTTTTTTTTGGTTGGAACTTTTATTGTGGGTATCGTCAAAAGTCGTAATAGTTGCTAATTAAGCAATGATCAACACTGTCGCGCTTTTTCATTATCAGAATCTGTCAACCCTGCTTGTATGTTGCTAAAATTTTATTGCTTATGTCCAAACTTCTTTTAAAATTTGGATCGTTCTTTTCAAAAAATGACGTAACTCGAAACAGTGGGACGTAACTTTGAGGAATAGTGACAAAAATTTGTTCGACTAACTCGAAAGGACGTAACACGAAACGACGTAAATCGAGGACTGCCTGTAATTTTTATTTATTAGAAATTTAATTTGGAATAGTTTAAAAGTCTTTGATTTCTCTATAACTACCTGCTACCTACTTTATTTAGATGGTTTTACAATTATTCTTAATGTTTTTTCGGAAATTTAAAATTTACTTTTTTAATAGTTTCCACTTCTCTCTCTCATAAGGCCACCTCTTACAATAATAAAATTCAAGAAAATGACAGGGTATAGGATAATAATATTATCAGATAAACAGTTTTACGTACTTGATTGGCTTCCTTCAGCACAGACACCAAATCTTTAGCCTGTCGGAAATTGTTAGGCGTAAAGAAAGCGTAAGACGTTCCTGTTGTGTCAGATCGGCCCGTTCTTCCTATCCTGTGGATGTAGTCCTCGGAAGAATTGGGATAGTCGTAGTTTATAACGTACCTTATTCCGTCTACGTCTATATTGGAAGAAAAATAACAGTAATATTGGTGAATGATGGACGCGATTGCTATGATTATGCCAGAGAACGAATCAAAGTCGAAAAGTTATAAAAGTTCTTTAGACTCATCACAAAATGAAAACAATATTTTGTTCCAGTAGTTGGCGAATGAATCAAACATTTCATTTACTTAAAAAATAATAATACAGTAGAACTCCACTAAATCGGACACACCAGTAGTTCGGCGTCTCTATCAAACGGACAATTTTGTTCCGGATGCTAACAAAATTCAACGGTAAATGAATGAATGTCCACATTTTTCTTGGACTGTGGACGCTTAGATTTGATGCAGTATGTGTTTTTTCTTTGTAGTACAGGATATTGCTAAAACATAGAGCCAACTAAACGACACTTGCTAAAGAAATGCAAGATTGGATTGCATTGACAAAGGATACGTAACATTTCTGTTTCATATGTAACATTCCATTTTTTGCTGTTCTGAAATTTAATATTTCAGATATAAAAAAATCAGACATACCAAGAACAAAAAAATTATATCTACCAAGAACAAATAAATGAAAAGGGAAAAAAATTGTCTCTGATTTGACTGAAGAATATAATAAGGCAGACAAATTGAAGAGAAAATACTAAGCATTGGAAACAAAGGAAACAAATGACGACTTAAGTGAAACAGAGTATAACAACCGTAGTAACAACGTTGTGTTGAGAATAAAACTTAGCAATGCTGTAAAATCTTTATCAAAAAGTATTTAATGGGTAGAAAATAGCGATGTTTCTATGCAAGACATTTTGCTTTTAAAAGGAGTTAAAGAGAAGGCTATTAAGGCAGCTAAATCGATAAGTATGTATGCATATAAAAATAGCGGAACATACACGCAAGGGATTTTTAAAATATTTGCTCCGCTTTGTTAATACCTGTGCGTTAGTGGACTATACTCTGTTTTTTTTCTCAGGTAAGATTTCGACAGACGATGACAGAAAAAAAGCAGATGACGTCCCATACACATCTATTTGCTTTACTAAAAAAAGTTTCTAATATTTTTTAAGTTAACTATGGCTGGGTTTAAATATGAATCCGTCATGCGTCGTCTCTTGTTCTTATTAACCAATTTTATTGGTTTATTTCAAAAATGACAGATCATATTTCAATTTTATTGGTTTGACGGAACAATGAACGACAAACGGACGCCGATGCGTATGAACTCGCCTTTAGATTTTTGGGGCTTGTCAAAATCTTCCTAAATTATAGGTTATAATTTTGTGTCAACTTATGTCAAATACCCAGCGTTTTAGAAGATGATGTATTTTGATTCGTGTTATTACGTGTGTTTTGTCTTTTGTCAAGTGGAGGAAAAATCGAGGAAAAATTAACTGTAGACACAGAGCACAGTTAATGGTTAATACTCGCTGCCCAGGTGGAAAGTCTTATACACCAATAAAGTTACCATTAATAAAATTTGTATACCATCTCGTCGTAGATAAGTGCATCTCGTATATGGTACAAGTATCGTACTAGAACTAGACATATACTAAAAACTGGAGCAGCTGTAAAATATCGACATCACACGATAGGTAAATAATGGATTTTAAGATATTACTGCAGAAAAATAATGTCAAAAGGTACTGGTTTAAAAAAATTAAGATTAAATTAATTAATCACCTTTAAGGTATAAAATTTGGTTAAAAAGTGTTATTATTAATAAAATAGTTTGTTTTATTTATTCCTGTGGAATATTACAAATTTGTATTTGTACAGGGTGAGTCAACGACAGAGTAAAGTCCATTATCTCATTTGTTTCGAGGTTTACAAAAAAATATTAAATATAAAAGTTATAGGGACGGTTAAGATACACATTTTATAATTATTATAGAGTATACAGGGTGCTTCAAAAAAGTGTGGCGAATATAACATATGTTTTTTTAAATGCAACACCCTATTTTTTATTTTATTTTTAAATTCTGCGTAAAATTCCATAACTTTTTTATATATAATGTTATATACCTAAAATTAATAGTTTTTGTAATATTTGAATTTGTTTAAACAAATGTTAGATTGCAGTGTGATAAAGAATTGTCAGTGGTGCCCTTGTTTCTGAAGTTGGACAACTAAAATTTGGTAGGAGAATTTTATAGAGATATAGAAAAAGACCTATGTAAAGATATTTTAGTTAGATGCTACAGGATGTTCAAAATATATTTATGAATTTCAACTACTTAAAATTAAGAAATTTCAATTTTTTTAAATGGTACACCCTATATATTATCATTTTTTCTGATAGATTTTACAAAATTCTACAACTTTTATTAAGTATGTCATATGCCTATTTTTAATAGTTTGCGATTTATTCCAATTTTTTCGATTTTTACCCATATTTTTAATACAACTACGCTATAACATCATGGTTGCCATGACAAACAGTAATAATTATCAAAATTTCATGTTTGTTAAGCAAGTTAAGAATAAAATTTGAATTGGATGTACTTAAACAGCCGTTAAACGGTAGCCTACTAAAATGCCGTTAATAGATATTGTGACGTCGTTCATGTCGGCGGAAAGTAATGCCTAGCCATAAGCATATTGCAAGAGCACCTGTGGCTCCGTGGCTGAGGCTATCGGTTCGTGAGCGAATGGTCCGGGGTTCAAATCTCACGCTGACCAACACTTTTTTATATTTATTTTTGCTTATAGCGTGATCTTATTGCATTGGTTTCACTCTTTTTGGTTGGATTGGTTTAGTTATTTGGCGGGTTGGTTAGCGTGGTTATTTGGAGGGTGTTAATTCATTGGTTAGTTGGTTATTTGGTGGGGTTGGTTGGTTTTTACTAATTTTTATTTGTTTTTTAAATTTTTTTATCAGTGTCGAGGTTAGTTGCGTTGGTTAAGTTGGTTATTTGGTGGGTGGATAGCTTTGGTTAGTCCTTATATAATTCCTATATTTCATAAAGCCGTCAAGTGCGTCACATCAACAACGTCATACCTATTAACGGCATTTTAGTAAGCTACCGTTTAACGGCAGTTTAAGTACAGCCATTTGAATTTTAGTTTAACTTGTAATAAGTACAAATGGTACAAATAATAGTTACAGATTTTCCTTAAATGAATTAGTCAATGTGATATACACGAACAAGCCAAGAAAAACATATTTTTTGGTTCAGTACTATATATTATATAGTACTTTGCTAAGTAACTATAAGAACAGATGTAGATTATCTAGAAAACATATTCAGTGTGTAATGGGACGGTTTCGCGGCAGTAGTATAATATTGGCTTTACGAAATGAATTATAAACCAGAATTGCTCTACGAACTGCTAATGTAACTAAAAAAAATAATTTATGTTGAAGAAAATTCCTATATCGGTAATCTAGTATTACCCTAATCTATTCCCGATGGAAAATCCCCCCCAAGTGTCATCATTCATAATATAGAAATACACCAAGAAATTCAGGACTGCGATTTTAGTTTATTTGAGCAGTAAAGTTAATTAATTATAACTAATACCAGCAATTGTAACTAATTATTAAGCTACTTGTTAAAGTTAAGTAATAAATAGTTTTGTTTTGTCATGGCAACTATGATTTTATAGCGTAATTGTAATAAAAATATGGATAAAAATAGAATAAATTTGAATAAATCGCAAACTATTAAAAATAGGTATATGACATACTTAAGAAAATTTGATAATCAGCAAACCAAATCAGAAAAAATGACAATATATAGGGTGATTTAAAAAATTTGAGATTTTTTAATTTTAAGTAGGTAGTTGAAATTCATAAATATATTTTGAACACCCTGTATTATTTAACTATAATATCTTTACATATATCTTTTTTTACATTTTTACATCTCTACAAAATTCTCCTACCAAATTTTGGTTCTCCAACTTCAGAAACAATGGCACCACTGACAATTTTTTACCACACTGCAATTTAGCATTTGTTTTAACAAATTGAAATATTGCAAAAACTATTAATTTTAGGTATATAACATTATATATAAAAAAGTTATGTAATTTTACGCAAAATCTAAAAATAAAATAAAAAATAGGGTGTTGCATTTAAAAATCATATGTTATATTCGCCACACTTTTTTGAAGCACCTTGTATACTCTATAATATTTTTAAATTTGTATATCTTAACCTTCCCTATAACTTTTATATTTAATTTTTTTTTGTAAACCTCGAAACAAATGAGATAATGGACTTTACTCTATCGTTGACTCACCCTGTACATAAGTTATATTGATAAATATAATAATAAATTCTGGAAGTTTCTTGTAGCTTGGTAAGAAATAGTTCTTTTTATATTTTTTTGGTATGTGGTGTTTTTGTTCTTGTTTGTTTGTTTTATATTAACACATACCGTTTTTTAATATAACTAATAACTAAATTTTTAATAATAATTTAATAATAAAATAACTCGATTACATTTTTTCAGTTTTATACAGTTTTTTTCACAATATTTTGAAGTAATCACTTGTCACTCAAATTTTGTATATATGATATTAATTTCCTGCTATGCGTTCCAATTGTACCATCTTATTTCTTTGTAAAATAAAATAAACTATAGTAAACGCCACGAATGTTTGGGAGTGATTTATCGCTTGATGAAATTAGAATCGACACGCGCGCTATCATTTTAACTGTCAAAGTCTTGTCAAAACATATATTTGGTTATAAATATAAAATGGAATGCCCCATTGGTCGCACTGCAAGCACAACAATGGACTGACGCACAAAAACGAATCAATCAAAGAAACGCGATATAGTATCGTACTTTAAAAACGTAAATTTTTACCGCAGACGTAGGTTTTTAAAGGCCCGGTCTAATCATCTGCCTGCGCTCCTCCTACTTATTCTAAAATGTTAGCGTGATTGACAAAGACGATACTATATCGCGTTTCTTTGATTGATTCGTTTTGTGCGTCAGTCCATTGGTGTGCTTGCAGTGCGACCAATGGGGCATTCCATTTATATTTATAACCAAATATATGTTTT